TGGGGCAATGATCTTTATGCCATTTCTCGAGTATTCAAACTATTATAGCCAACATTCGACAATCATTTTCAACCATTCTGAAAACTCATGTTCTTGACATGTCCCCTCAGGACTGGTTCATATGATCTCTAGTAATATAAGTTTCGTTTTTTCATTCTTTTTCAAATAATGGACACTACAGTTTTTCCATTTCCCCATTGTCTAACTCTTTTATTAAACTGTTTTGTATTGCCTTCCTCTTTAGGCAACCAAGTGCTATCAATTGCCATTTACTACAAATTCTTTCTAGTTTCTTTTAGATATGTCTGCTCTCTAAAAGTTTGAGAAACATTCATATTTTATGAGATATATTTTACTTGAGTTATAATTTCTTAGGGTTCAAAGAATGTATACTTGATGCTGCTCTTTTCCTTCCACCATTTAAACAGATCTGATGCTTTGCATATCGTTAATAACAGAGATGATTGTACCATTGATGTCTATTCTAATTTTCAGTCATCACTCCTTATCACCTTTCATCACAGCAGTCCACTCTACTCATGCATCTTGAGTTGTTCTTGGTAGATTTTTAAGACTGGGTGCACAGGAAATATAAGGCAAAAATGGTCACCTACAGCTGAAGAAAGTTGTCCTGTAATGGGTAGATAGTCACATAATTCTCCAACTTCTGGTTAAAATATTCTTGCCTTCTTACAGTCTCTCTCTCTCTCTCTCTCTCTCTCTCTCTCTCTCTCTTTCCATCTCCCTCTCCCTCCCTCCCTCCCTCCCTCCCTCTCTCTCTCTCTCTCTCTCTCTCTCTCTCTCTCTCTCTCTCTCTCTTTCTCTGTGTGTGTGTGTGTGTGTGTGCATCTCTGTGAAGGAAATATCATTTTTTATTACCATAAAATTGGCGGCAATAAGTACAGGTTAGAGCTAAATAATTAACTATGGGAAGGAACAGCTTAGGAAGTGACAACACCATACTGTCTAAATTCCATACTGTCTCTACCCATGCCGTCCTTCATTGAGCCTCTACAGCTTTTCAGTTCAAGGACCTACCTGATTTTTCTTTGCCATCTGTCTTACCTGTCCCTCTAGTTTCTTGCACCTTGGCTCACACCAGCTATTTGTCTTAAGTGTTTTCTTTGTTTACTTCCTCTTTCTTTAACATTCTAGTTGTTTTAGAAAAACTAAACTACCCTGTAAATCCACATTGGAGACATAAAAGAATAAAATGACTTGAGGAATGAGGACAAGTGGGGAGAATTAAAACTGGAGAGGAGCAGAGCTAATTTCATTCCTCTATTCTGGATCCCTGAAAGGAAGTGTTTTACCTAGAGAATTGTGTTCTGATATCAGGCACTTACCTCCAGCCATTCACATCTCTATTACAATGCTCCCTGACTGGCTAATTGTTACTTGTCATTGAGCCAAAGCAAGGGGAAGGCAAAATAACCTGGGAAAGTGCAGAATAACATTGCCAACAGAGATTTTAAACAAAACAAAGAGAAAAATCCAAATGCGTAGGCGAAGGCTGAAAAAGTATCTGTTGGGAAATGCTAGCAATGTGCCCAATTCTATATTTATCAGTTAATATTCCTATTTATGTATCTCATTCCTTCCCCTGTTTGCTACATTCACATTTCATTCCAAAATGATGTTTTGAATCTCAATTCTCCCACCCTCAGAACTAAAATGATAATTGAACTAACATAACAAATGTAGCATCTTTTCCATTTCTCCATCTTAAATTTTTCTTTGCATTCCTGACATTAGAGAATAAAATTACATTTTTGCATATCATATCAAAACAAGTGCTGCCACAATAACCATTTATTTCCCAGCGTTTTCGCTTCTTTTTAATGAACTTTCCCTGAGGACATTCTTACAATTGAGCATTTATTTATGATAAGCAACAAAAGAAGTCTTGATTGCTCCAGCTGTGACAGAAAGGCTCAGTTTGATAAGCACACAGTAGATGAAATGAGTAATAATAATAATAATGATAAGCATTTGGATACTCAGGAATTTGAAGAAACAAAAAGAAATGCAGAGACTGTGGTGAGATTTTTCTATTTTCCATCAGTTAGTGGAATATTGTACATTTATTATCAAGGTAATATGAACTTTCAATGCCGAACTATCACAACTCACCATAAATTACTTTTAAAATGTTTTGCTGATTAAAACTATTGTAACAATGGTCCTGAAAAGCAAATTATTGGTTGAGTACTTAGTAAACAATGATGCTTGTAGCAGGTAGGTCTTTTTCAATTAACAATTTAATTCATACATTATTGGTTTCACTCATATGTGGTAATATAATACTAATCTTTCTTTGTCACTAACTAAATATTTTATTCTTGAGGGACTAAAGTCTCTAAAATGAGAGCAAGGGAACAAAACCTCACTTACATGGCAAAAAAGATCTGCTGATACCAATGGGAAGCCATTCATTAAATCATTTATACTAGTTTCTTAGATAACCAGCAATGTGTGCGACAGATATTATTGAATAGGAGTCAGAATGAAAGAAGAATTTGTTCCAGTTTCTGTTTCAGCATTATTTCTTAGAAATATGGATCATCAAAATCTGCCAAACTCTCCTTCTCTCTCTGTCTATTTTTCTCTGTCTGTCTGTCTGTCTGTCTGTTTGTCTCTCTCTCTCTCTCTCTCTCTCTCTCTCTCTCTCTGTATATGTCTTTGTATGTATGTGTAAAAGTGTATGAGGTGGGCTTGTGTGCATGTATGTGCGGGGTGGGTGTGAATTTGTGTGCATCCATGTTTATATGCACATGTGTTTGTATATACATACAGAAGGATACACAGATGCCTGTATGAAGGTCATTCCTCCTTAGGATGCTATGTATTGGGCTTTTCATTGTATTCAGTAGCTTACCTCATTTTAATTATTCTCTACCATACAGAAACTTAAATATTATTCCTTGATACATATAACTAAAGAAAATAATGCATAAATATTCTCTGCATAGAGTACAAAATAAGCCAGGTGCCTGAGTTAATCAATACAATAATCCTACAAACATTGGGATTCATATCATCTTCTAAGGGAATTACTGATAGAGGTTTGTTATAGGAAAAACAGCTGTGTACCTGGTGCAAAACAGGCTTTAAAACATGCCTTCTAAGTGTGGATATAGATAATTAAATTAAGTCACTAATGAGTTCTTCTGTGTGGTGTGATTTAGATGGGAATGTGATCAGTTTACTGGAAAGGAATCATCATTTAATAAAAGCATATAGACAGGTAGAATGGGGGAACTAAATATGAATAGCAAAATCATAACATTTTAGCACATGTTGTAGAAACTGTATTAGCATAAAGAGCAAAATATTTTCTCCAATGACCCAAATAGGGAACATTAAAGAAAAGGTATATTAATAAGAAAAGTTTCATTTAATGGGAACATAAACATTATAAAAGGGTATACAAACAAGTTTCCAACTTGGGGGAATATGTGTGCAGCACACAAAACTGTCTACATGTATAATTATATACATATATGAAAACATAATCATATTAAAATATTAGAAAACAGCCCAGTAAAAATCATGAACAGATTTGAACATCTTCTTCCCATAAGGAGAGAAAATAAGCTCTATCTATGTATAATACCTTGAAAGTAAAGATTAGAATCCACTAGAAAACCTGCAAGAAAAACAGCTAACCATATGAAGTGTGAGCTAGGACATGAAGTGGTAGACATATTCAAGACATCCACCTGCCTGTCAGTTGTGGTGCAGCATGAAGTGCGCCAAAAACAAACAAACAAACAAACAAACAAAAAAAAACTATGTTTTATGGAGCAGCAAAGAATGGAAGTAACTCTCATGCACATCTCTGTTTTAGGATAAAGGGAGTCTGCAATTGTTATTCATAGTACATCTAAAACCATAGTATTTTATTTATTTTTGTTTTATTAAGAATTGTTTCTGTGATAGAACACTGACCAAAAGAAATTTGTGGAGGAAAGATGTTATATCAGCTTACAGCTCTGTATCACAGTCCAACCCTGAAGGAATTCAGGTGAGTAGTTGAAGGTGGGAACCTGGGGGCAGAAACTGAATCAGAGATTTGAAAGAATGCTATTTTCTGGATTGTCCTCATGACTTGTTCATCCTTCTTTTTTATAGCACCCAGAACTGCCTGCTGAGGTGTGCCAATATCTATAGTTAGATCAGCTTTCTCACATCAATAGTTAAGCAAGAAAATATCACAAAGAAATGCACACAAGCCAAACTTTTTTTTTATTTATTAAAAATTTCCACCTCCTACCATCCCCTCATTTCCGTCCCATTCCTCCCACTCCCTCTCCCCCTTCTCCAGTCCTAAGAGAAATCAGGGTGCCCTGCCCTGTGGGAAGTCCAAGGCCCTCCCCCCTCCATCCAGGTCTAGGAAGGTGTGCATCCAAACAGACTAGTCTCCCAAAAAGCCAGTACATACGGTAGAATCAAAATCTGGTGTCATTATCATTGGCTTCTCAGTCCGCCCTCATTGTCAGCCACATTCAAAGAATCCAGTTTGATCACATGCTTGTTCAGTCCCAGTCCAACTGGCCTTGGTGAGCTCTCATTAGATGAGTCTCACCGTCTCAGTGGGTGGATGCACCCCTTGCGGTCCTGACTTCCTTGCTCATGTTCTCCCTCTTTCTGCTCTTCATCTGGGCCTTGGGAGCTCAGTCCAGTACTCCAATGTGATTCTCTGTCTCTGTCTCCATCCATCGCCATATTCTATGGTGATATGCAAGATATTCATCCGTGTGGCTACGGGAGAAGGCCAGTTCAGGCACACTCTCCTCTACTGCCCAAGGACCTAGCTGGGGAAATTCCCTTGGACACCTGGGAACCCCTGTACAAGCCAATCTTGTAGAAACATTTTTTTTTTTAGAACAACTCAGCAAAATAAAATTCCGGTTTATTGTTGGACATTGTTTCACACATACATCAAACAGGCCAAAAAAAAATAAATAAATAAACAGCAACTTCATAGACAAAAAAAGGAAGAAAAAAAAAGAAACCTTTAATCTTTGGCCTTTTTAACCATCTCATACAAACCAACTACTTATAGTACAGCTAGGTACATACACAAAAAAAGTTACTGGAATGCTCGGAATAAGATTGTTTTTTTGTTGTCATTTTTGTTTTTTTTTTACAAGGTTTTTTTCTCCTTTGAGATTATAATGAACATGGTCACACCACAAGTAAGGTCAGAAGTAGGACAGAGAACGCTCTGAAGGCTGGTCTGGTCACCCGTTATCATCAAAAATGGCTGACCCCTAACAATATGTACAAAAATATAAAATGTAAATAAAAAATACAAACAAATTTTCCTTTAAAGTATTTTTAAGAAAAAAAGCAGGGCCTTGGAAGTTTTGGTTTTTCCTCCCCTGTTGCAAATTCATGTTGTGGTTTTGGTGGGTTGATGAAGAGCGCATGTCATCTGTGGGTGGCACTGCCCGCTGTTGGCGGGCGGGGCCTGCTCCTCTACTCGAAGGTGACCACGTTTATATTCTGAGACGGGAAGTGGAGGGTGAATAGGTCACGGTGGCCTTAGTTTAGCTTGTCCTTTGCTGTCTAGTCATCTTCGTCAGTCTTCTGCTTCTTGGTGTCAACATCATCATCCTCATCATCTTCAGCTACCCGCTTGCCCGTAGGAGCCTCAGCCTCCTCATCTTCATCTCCATCCTCTTCCTCACCGTCACCTTCTTCCTCCTCCTCCTCTTCCTCCCCACCTTCTTCCTCTTCTTCATCTACCTCATTGTCGGCCTCCTGCTCCCCATTTTCCTCATTAGCATTGCCATTGGCAGGTGCGTCTCTTCCATTCTCTGCCTCCTCCACAACTTCCTTCTTCTCCTTCAAGTCCTTGGTGGTGATCTCGGAGCTGGTGTCCACGGCCGCGTCTGACATGGTGGGGCACGCCGGTGATCCGCTGCAGCGAGGGCGAGAAGAATCGAGTTCGAGGACTCTGGCAAGAGAGCTGCCGGAGTCCGCCGCGGAGGAGGAGGAGGAGGCGGGCGGCGAAGGCGGCTGCAGTGAGCACCGAGCAGCACCAGGAACAATGCAAAGATGGCTTTTCAGAACAGCCAGTGGGGCGTAGAAACATTTTATCTACTTAGATTCTCTCTTCTCAGCAACTCCAGTTTGTATCAAGTTGACCAAAATTAATCAGCCCAAAGCCATTTGTTTGTTTTTCCCAGAATGGAAGCGTTACCTCTACAAGGGAGCTGGGAGGCTCACCATCCAAAGAAATAAACTATTCACAAATCTGGGGAAGTCCCTGAGGCTAAAGGATTCACAAGATACCTCCCCAAGGTTACCAATATAAGACACAACTGCTGGGGGAGAGATCCTCCTACCTGTGGAGCTGTTTGCAAACCCCGTAGAAAGCTTGAGTTTGTGGCTCTTGTGAGTTATCACCTAAGAAGAGTGGGCATTTCAGTGTTGTAGTTGGTTATGAATCACTAATGCGCTTGCAGTTAGCCGCAGATTCTTGTAAATAAACCTAATAAACACATTGGTTTATCATGATGGAAAAAAAAAGAACACACATGGAATAGTATATGATACCATGACTAAAAAGATGTCATGAGAAAGAAAATATCCTTCTGACACTAAACCTGAAGAAAAGAAAACACATCTAACAGCAGGCTATTGCCCGGAAAGGTTCAGCTTGTGAGTGGAGGCAGCATCTAACCCCTGACAATATTTTCCTTTATAAAATGAATTGCCCATACATTAGCTTGTTTATTATTTAAAATGCTGAATGTATGTTACCTACTCCTCACACATGACAGATGGTAACAAACTGAAAGCAAAATACAAATGAATAATAGCATTGGGCAAAGTAAGTCAACCCCTGTGGAATTTCTGGACAGATAAAAACCTTTGAACTAATATACCAACTGGTACTGGTGTTCACTGGTTTATGACTATTCCTAATAAGTCTATTTTTATTCATTCACAATGGAGAAGTCAGTGACAGATGAAGAAACTCCACACTAATATACCTTGGTGAAATTACTTAACTGGAATGATGGATATATCTGTCAGACTGATAGGTGTTGTAAGAAGACTGGCAGTTAATTTCCAGCTGCTCAGCCCCAAAATAATCACCCAGAAACCATATTATTTGTAATACTGTTTGGACAATAGGTTAAGCTCTTACATCTTAATTTAACCCATTTCTAGTAATCTGTGTATTGCCACATGGCTGTGGCTTACCATATAAAGTTCTGTCTGGCTCTAGCAGGGCTACATGGCTTCTCTCTGACTCAGCCTCTCTTCTCCCAGCATTCAGTTTAGTTTTCCCTCCCTAGCTCTACTCTACCTTACCACAGGCCTTAGACAGTTTCTTTACTAATCAATGGTATTCACAGCATACAGAGGAGAATCCCATGTCAGACAGGCATCTCAAATGACATAGGAAAAAGGACATAGTATGCATGTGAGCTGAGATATTATACTACTCTGAAGTGGGCTTATGGATATGTCTGTGAGGGATTAGATAGACTGAGTTAATTGAGGTAAAAAATTCTACTCAGAATGTGAGTGACATCATTCAATGGTCTGGGGTTATACAGTATATAAAGTGAAGAAATCTACCTAAGCACCAGCATCCATCTTAAGCACTGTCTTCGTCTGCTTCCATACTGTGACTACAATATGACCTGCTTGCTCCTTAAAATCTTGCTGTCATGCCTTCCTTACATGATGACTGTATCCTGGAAATGTGACCCAAATTAAACCCTTCCTCTTTTGTTTCATCTTATCAGAATTTCATTCCAGAAAAAGACACTAGGGATTATTTCCAAGAGCATGAATAATGTATGGGCTGCTGCACCATCAGAACACTCTTATCCCCTTGCACAATTGTTGATCATTAATATATCTTGGAAGAGTAAAAGGTTCTTGTGAGCCTCATGAGCTTTGAAATCCATGACCTTCCCCTTTTTCATCAAGGGATGATAGTATTTCTTGTCTTATAAGGATCCTGTATGACAAGTCAAAATTTCTCAAAATTGTGTCACTCACCAGAAAATAGATTTCCTCAAGATAAATCTAAAATATTTTTTCAACTATAATAGGAATAATTTATTATTTGGGTGGCCTTCAAATAAGAAATCAGAGATTTTGTGACTTTTTGTGAAAAAAAATTTGTGTAAAATTTTGTGATTTTAACTAAGGTAAAGACAATGTTCCAGATATTGTGAGTTTTCCTCCTCTCAAGACATCTAAGCTCCATTTGCCAATGGCCAACCTTTGTCTTCCTCTTTGCATTTTCACCCATCTTTGTTGGCTGCTTTTCACTGTCCACAGTTCTCTTGTTGATAATGTCCAAAGTCATATTCAACTGGCGCCTTCCTGAAAATCCCTTCTTCCATAAAGGTCCTTTTGCCCATAATCACTCTCCAGATCTGTGACTAGAACACCCGAATACAAATGTGGGGCAACACAATTCAGCTCATCACAACTATAGATACTAACTGCAGGTGATTTAATCATTTAGAGTTTAAAAGGTACTTTGAGGTGTTTTGATTTATTGTTTTTAATTCTACTTAGAGGTTTGAATTCAAGGGCTCCAATGGCTGCCTCAAGTCTAAGAGCTACTGTAACATGAGGGGGCCTGTTTGTTGGGGTTTTTTTCTATCCTCCCACCAGGTCCCAACAATTGTTTAGTCCCAGAGAAAATCACCCACACAGGATGCCGTAAGTTATAATGCTGATTGGCTCATTAGGTCTGGCTTTCCACTGGCTAACTCTCATATCTTGATTAACCCATTTTTCTGATCTATTTTAGCCATGTGGCTCAGTACCTTTTTCAGTAGGGCAGCTCACAGCCTGCTGCTTTGCTGATCTAGGCAGGAGTCGGAGGAATCAACTTCCTCCTCCCCAGAATTCTCCTGCTCTCCTTGCATCATTTCCACCTCCTGTCTGGTTTTCCCACCTACACCTCCTGCCTGGCCAATCAGCGTTTATTTAAAACATGATTGACAGAATACAGACAATTCTCCCGCAAGCTACCAAGCAACAGAACAGCTGTTATGTTCTTACATAATGATGAGAGGCTAAGGTAAAGAAGGCACATCACCACCCAAAAGCAAAGTAAGGCTACATACATATAATAAATATAATTCTTTCTGTCTTGGAGCAATCTCCACGGCAAATGATGGAAACGCTAAAGATAATGGAGGGCTACTTCTTACTAGGGACATACTTAGTTTGTACTCTTAACCCTACGTAACACTTATAAGTCTTCCTTGTTACGTTTTAATAAAGGCAAAAGAAGGACCCTGAACTCTATTTTCATATGGCTACTGCTGTTTTTGTCCTCTGTTTGTGTATGTGACAAACTTTTGTGGGTGACCATAGAAGGGTAGCACTTTATTGCATTTGAAACTCATTGGCCATCTATCATTTCTAGAAATTCTAGACAAAATGTTGGAGAAGGAAGCTGGCAACACTGAATGTGTACTCTGACATAATCCCACTTAACAACATGGCTGTTTATTTTTGCTGCTGTTAAAAAATTAAGAAGTCTTTTCTTCAAATGTGTTGTCATTCTTTTTGTTTTGTTTTGTTTTGTTTGTTTTTCGAGATAGGGTTTCTCTGTGTAACAACCTTGGCTGTCTTGGAACTACTAGCTCTTATAGACCAGACTGGCCTCAACCTCTCAAATATCTGCCTGTCTTTGCTTCCTGAGTGCCTGAATTAAATGCATGTGGTGTACCACCACCACCCGGGTCTTATTGTTATTCTTAAATAGAGTTTCTTTTCTCTGAAATTTCAAATTGACAAATAATAACTCCCTTTCTGTGAGACTATAGACCTCTTTCTACCTTCTTCTGTTCATCTATAAATTGACAGAGAGAGAGGGAGTTAGATAGCCTCTTCCTTACAGATATCAAAACTTATCATATATAATATGGAGAATTGATGTTTATCCATGCCTTCTGCAGTCAGGACCAATAAATGGTATTTTCATAACTTTAATTCCTGAAAAGAATATTTAGTAGTGTGGAAGCTTATATAACTAAAATGGTGTTTATTTGTTCCTTTGGCAAAAAGAAACTACTTTAGACTCATCATTTACAAAACCTACCACATGTGAACGGTCAATTAATGAAATGTACAATATGTGTATTCTGGGAGGGGTGGCTAAATGAGCTTTGAAGTATCATTCTAATCTGTGATTCCTTAGTACTTCCCAACCTGCTCCAGTCATCAGGCACTGAAATTGGAAATGAGAAGGACAGATTATTATTAGCCACAGGCTTCTGATTAATATTTGAAGCTAAGGGAGTTTGTGTTCCAGCTAAGATAGGAAAGCTGTCTCTTGAGGTAGGGCCATTAGCATTCCAGGAATGAGACAAGGTTGTCATTAAGGAGGCATTAGGTCTTGATGACCACAGTGGAGTAAGAATGGCTGGCCAGCAGGCAAAAATCTAACACAAGGTCACTCTCAGCACTGCCAAGCCATATGTTCAAATTGAGGAGAGCTACATACTTCCTCTGTTGTCAGCCTTTAAGGGTTTCTAAGCAGTGATGAGAGAAAAGATAGTTGTATGCGTGTAGTCCAAATTTTGCGATTCATGGTACATTCAGAACTTCATTGTGTTAGCATATACAAATGTGGTTTGTATTGGTGAGAATATGTGACCATGCACACATATGTGTACTCACGTATTGTGGGCAATATCTGTAAGAACCAGAGATCAACTTCGAATTTTAAAAATATATAATCAGCTCAAAGTATTGTTTGCAGCAAAATGCCATCATTACTCAAATGTGCTTCTTCTTGTATAAAGATATCAGAACTTAAGTTGCAAACTTCTGCCTGATTTAGCACCATGGATATCTAACAAAGGTCTACATACCGTCATAGAATATATTATTATTTAAGGGTAAACAGCGTCCTATCCAAAGACATTTGACCAATGAGTTTAAAAGATCAATGGATCAATTAAATGTGATTTATTCTTCTCTGTTCTCTTCATTTTGTTCAATACAGAATGTTTCAGCCATTGAAAA